TGTCTTACGATTCTGCGTGTCAAACACACATTGACTACTGCTGCTGCTCACGAATTCCTTTCAGAGAGCATTTTCACACCTCTGCAGCTTTCCTGCGCACAATTCGCCATCGGTTCATTTGTAGTGCCCGTCATTTTGCGAAAAACACTGCATGGTTCAACCTTTTGAATAAACCAATGATGACAATCGGATGGGATTGTACTGTTTGAGGGTAATGGTCCTTTGTAAACAATTGATTTAAGAGGGCTACCATGAACTTGATTTTGAAAAGAAGAGAAACCACAGCCCTAGTTTTAGCTTCACCTTAGCGCTCGACTTCACCTGCGTTAAATTGCCATATTTTTAACTCAAGTCAATTTAATTAGTTGCCAGTTTATCGTTTCCTGTACTTTTATTCAGCGAAATCTAGCGAAAATATGTCTTTAGTGTCACGCGATTAGATGACGGAATTACCGCCTAGAAACACAAAAGATGTTTCGTTTTTCTAACAAATTTCTCCTAACTAATGCATTCTGGTGACAGCCGCTTTGACCTAAAATGGGTATCACAATAATTTTGACTGCTGTAGTAGAGGTTTCACGAGTCTATCAGAAGGAACTCGTCCACCTTCCAAGATGTTTGTGCCGTCGAGTGTCTGTGTGTTCGACTTGACCACGCTAGATTTGAGTTATTTGCAAATCTGCATGCTGTGATGGAAAAAGCGTGTTAAAATTGCCGATCGATTTTTCCTTTGACGATGGATTTAAGGGGGGTATTATGAACTTGATTTTGAAGGTAATAGATATCACATCCCTAGTTTTAACATCGTTTAATTACTCGACTTCACTTCTGTTAAACGCTCGACCTATCCACCTTTCAGTTCACATCCGACAGTGGAGCCCCATTTCCAGACCCCTTTGATGAGTTGATTGCAGCACGTCCCAGTGCCACTTTGCCGGCAGCGCCGCCTGCGATTGCTGCCACTGCACACTCCCAACCTCCACCGCTGCCACCGCCACCCCAACAGCAGCAGCAACTACCACAACCACAGCCTTCGTTCGCTTCCTTCGCTTTGCCCACTTTTCCGCCGTCGACGGTCTCTCAGCCGCCGCCACCGCTGTCAACAGCATCGGCGAGCACCGCCTGGCCCGTGCTATTCCCCCCCTCCGACACATTTTCCTCGGCGCCGCCGCCAACGAATTCCGCATTCGCCACCGCCTCCCCAGCCCCTGTGCCGGCGGACAAGTACGCGGCGCTGGCGGAGCTTGATAGGATGGGCAAAGCCGAAGGGAGCCACGAACCTCCGAGGTCTAACGCCGTGCCAGGTTTAGCGTCCGCGTCCTTCGCATCGTTTAAACCACAGCCCCTAAACCCCTTCACCTCCCCCGGCCCAAATCCATTCCAGGCACCGACTGTCGGTGCGCACAATCCGTTCGCCACCGCGCCTGCTGCTGCTCCCACCAACTCCTTCTCGCTGTTTCAGTCGAACACAGCAAACGGTGGCACCGCCTTCCCTACCGCCTCCTTCAATCCGTTCATTGTAAGTGCGAACCCGTCTAACCACGTTGGCTCCCGCTCGTGTTTTCAATTCACCGCTGCTTTGATTTAATTTTTCGGAAGATCCCGACCATCACTCTCATTTAAGTGAATGGGAAAGGTTCAGACAATGTCTCCGGACAAATGCTTTAAGATAAAAGGTCGTACGACAGCAGCTGAAATAAGTATGTCGATTATTTCCCTCACGAGGGAATTACCGACCTTGTTGCAAACGGATTTCGATGAGTCTCAGGTACGTTGAAGAGGGGCTTACCCTAAGTAACAGGCTAACAGAATTGAATGGGATCGGCCAAATCTTCTGTGGAGAATCTACTTACAAACGGTAACGCGCGGCCTTTGCATCATTTGGCAAGCGAATGAGCGTGACGCAGTAGTCAAGATTCGCGTGTGGTAGGTGTTTACAATCCAGTCGATTTTAAATGGCACCAAAGCATGTACACTCAGAAGTGTCTTCATGCAAATTGCGGCTGCGTGCTACATAAACCAACTTTGCGCGTCTGCATCAGTCATTCTATTGGTTAAAAGTCAACCAATGAGCGTTACGGTGGCAGGAGGGCTCTGTTTTCTTATCAACAACCCTTCAATCTCTTCTCGATACGACTTAATCACTGGACTGAACCGGCTCTTCTTTCTCCACTTTCGAGTTGCCGTTGCTTCATGTCCTTTTAATCAGCTTTAGGCAAAGGTCAAACTAGGGTCAACCCCCTGAAATCTAACTAAGGTCATGTGCAATCCCCCTGTTAAGTAGTCAGCACACTCTGGTTTGCGAGAGTCGATTCAGGCAATAGAACAATGGACTGCTTGTTAGTCGGCTATTTTGTTAGCCGACTGATGTCCTCGTTTGACATTTCCTATTGCGTGCCTCTGTTTCGAATAAGAAATCTCACCCTACGATGAGTAATCCGCAAATGACAATTAAATTTGTCCCGAATACCGTGCTGGGTGTTAACATAGCGGATCACCGGAATTTGTTTGCGTACGCAGGCACAATCCAGATTCTGTAGTTTGACCTGGCCTTAAGTTGACCCCTTCAGGATCATTCTACTTGGATCCGATTGTCAGAACTGTAGAACACCTTAACTCACCGATATTGGTAAATCCGATTCGAAGGCGAGCAGCATTTTGAAAATTGAGCGTTATAGTTCTCAAGAGGTGACTTTGCCTAACGTCATGGCAGATTTTGCCTTCATTGCACTCAATCTGCTTTTAGAATGCTCGATGAGATGCGATTTCCGCTAACGTGGTCACACCTTCGCAACACCACGCCGTCTGACCTCTCCATTCTCCCCCCACGGATTGCATTTTCTCCGGTCGCCTTTGTTCTATCCATTTAATTTTACATTCAGTCGCAGACTTGTGATCCTAATTCCGAGTAAATGCGCACTTCATACGCACGCACGCACGCACTCTCAGTGTTTCTCTGAAGTTGTGTTGTTTGCCGCCTCGCGTTCATTTGGATGTCCTGTTACTTGTATATTGTTATTTTCACCGTACGAGTAACCCCGGTGAATGCAGACCCTACTTTCAGTTGATTCATATGTACTACCTCTGCCTTCCCCTCCCGCTCCTCTCCAACTGCGTCACCAACTGTTGCGGGCTGCTGGCACGTGGATAGTCGTAGTGGGTAATGCTTGCCCTCCCCATTCGACGATTCTTCGTGCGTTGTCAGCTCCTCCAAGTTCCACATTAGAGCATCCAGCTGATTTTTACATCAATCCGGTCCGTCGTTTGTGGGAGGGGGGCCGACTAAGGTCAAGTGTGTTCTCTCCCCATTAGCCAATCACAGCTCGACGCCGCGTCTGTTCTTTTTAGACCAATTGGCATCGTGTAGACTGGTTGTATTTTACCAGTAAAAACACCGTTTAAACAACCCAGAGGATGACGTAGGCTAAATTGGGTTCATTTCTCAATGTTGTAAACGTTGTTTGAACACGGAAGGCTGTAGTTAGGTGATTGGTCAAATGCCTGATGAGCATGATCTGGTTCAGGTGATCTTTAGCTGATCCCCCACCACTGAGGAAGTAACTTCGCTTTTACGAATGAGTGCCCTCATGTTTGTGCCTGAGGGCTTCTTTCAGGCATTGTACCAGTTCAGGATCAAGGCCGGCACAAAAAAAATGTTCTTGATAAATTTTCGCATTGAAAAGACACTGGCTAAAGTTCACATCAAGGTGTTTTAAATAATTGTGGTTTAAGCGTCAAGCAACGAGGTTAAGAGTAATTGTAGAGGGCTCCAATGTAGCACATTCGTTTGGGTTTAGTTAGGAAACGATGATGCACATCTGTATAGCTCTGCGTCTACGCTATTGACCTACAAACTAAATTTGGGCAAGCGAAATATCCCAGGTTGAACAGAATTCCGCCACACCCTCTTGAGCTGGTAAGTAAGCCTTATTACCACATTTGGTTCCGTGCAGTCGCGCAAGCCAACGTCGTGGTACATCTTTTTCATCGCAGACAACTGCCTCGAACACGAATCGTCGACTCGGTCTTACGCCACGGCTACTACTTTAGAAAATCAAAAACTGCACCAACAAATGTCGTTCTTGTGAAAATCAGCCCTTTTTTAGTTCTGAAAGCAGAACTTAATTGTGTAGATTCTCCTCTTTTTCGAGCAATATCGAGACTTCAGATCTGCCAATGGGGTTAAGATTGCCTCCATAAAGTCTCCTCTACGCACTAGTGAGAAGTTTTTTGCGAAAATTGCTGTACCCTTTAAAACTGCGCAAATAACAGGGTTTTGGCGCCATAGCAACAATTTCGTGGGCATGAGGACAGCGCCTGTGACGCGTTATTTTAATGTTTGTTGTGTCACTTAGCTGGCTACTAATCGCCTGCCGTAAAACAGTCAATAGCAGGAGTCTGCGTTTCTAAAATCGCCTGGAACTGCAGTCTTCGGGAAGGTTTCATTGTTCATTCATCAACTTTTGTTGGTGTGTAGGCTTTGCACTTGTGGAAGTTTGGATATCGTGTGTGGGCGCGTGCAAAACGTACCGCAGTGTTGCGCATTTCGTGTGCCCTCGTTAGTACATACTTGAAGTAATCCACAGCATTCGTTGTAACCTCAGCCCTCTTGTCGGCGCGTGTTACTAACCCTGAATTTGATTAATCAATTCCAGTTCATTTCATTGTCTTACTAAGCCAAGGCGCTAGCTAGGTGGTCATTAGGAATTTCGACCACCCTGTTTACAGCCTTCTGTGCCAGATCATTTTGCCATCATGTGCCATTTTCTTGTTTTAGAGAGCGCCATTTTCGTTAACGGTAGCATTGAATAGTTTGAGTTGTTTTGATACTTGTTACACATGGAATCTCGGGAGTGCGTATCTAGGCAATGGAACGCAGGTTGCATTTTCAAGGTCACATTTTAACAACGAAGGTCGCTAAATGAAGCTGTCACTTGTTTGACTAACGGAAGTAAACATTAGATATTTCTAAACCTTTTAAAACTACCTGAAATTGGTAAAGTTTGGTGAATAATATATCGGTTGACAAAAATGTCTCTGTACGGTAATATCTGTGGTTTTGCAGCATCAGACACACCCGTTTTTTTCGCGCTCATTGCCAAGATGTCTTGTTTATCTAGTCAACGTCGAAATATCTTGAGGAGTTAGAGCGGTTAAATTTTTGTCAACACTACAAACCAGCGCTTCATGCTAGTGCACGCAGCTAACTCAGCCACGGTCAATGCATAAAAATCGATGCTTCAAGGTAACTCGTGACCAATGAGAATAACGAAGGTTGGCCGTATAAATATCACGAGACAACGTGCATGTCACAGCAATTATGACGTGGTGATTCTCTTTAATCTCTAACTTAATCTATTCATTGCGTTCTTATTACTGCACTGTCTTCATGCCTTCGGCTTCATTAAAACCAGAAATAACGTCATTCGTATTTTAACTTTCCTTTGACTTAAATGCCGGTTCCGCAGTCCAGAAGCTAACCATGGCATTGGAACACGTGGTCTTCAAGACTGAAACAGGCCAAGTGAATTCTGACTCAGTACTGTTTGTTTAAGCTCACTAGTGTTGGGGACAATTTGTGAGGATTCATTGGTGTTTGGTGAAAGCATGTTTTCGTGAACCGAAAATCTAACGACACGGGAGGTGCAATTAGTTTGTCGAATCACTTTCTATTAATCCAACAGCAGGAATTACTCAGTTGAGACAGCTTGCATGGTCTGGCTTATTCCCTTAACCACTGAAACCTGTGAAGGGATTTTTTGAGCCCGCACTCGTCGTCTAACCACTGACTTGACAGAAATTAAGGCGGTCGCCAAGACATATTTGCAGGTAGCGTGACATTTCTTGCACGAGGCATTACAGTTTGCAGAGCACTAACCAAGTTTGTTTGCCTCGGGCGATGAATGGCGGTTATGCAAGGCCAATTTGCATACGACGCGTGGTAATTGCCAACTCTGGCTTGATGAATTCCTGGCAGAATTGGTCATTAGCATGAATTGGGCGCATGTGCGCGACATGAATAAGCGAAATACATACGCAAGGCATACTTGCGATAGGCATGCACACTTGAGCACTATTATTTACGTTGTTTGATTGGCTATCAGCTTGTATGTTCTGTAACGGTTGCCTCAACGTCGCTACTTTTGTGTTGTTTAATTAAAAATCCGATATAATGCATAGTTAATGTGATCGATTTTCAGTCACCTTAACGGCACCAATAGACTCCGTTTGCTTCAACTATTAGACATTTTACTTTTGAGGTCGATAAGGCTGTTGCAAACACTGCTGAATTCGTCTCAATTCCGTCCAATTAGGGCGTTCGGCGGCGTGCTAATTAACCACAATGTGCGTATCCGCATGCGACTCCGTCCGCGAACGGCACAAGTCTAGCGCCAAACAACAAGTATTGAAACAAACACGTGCCTGGTAATGCATGTCTTGATGCATAGAAGACGGTGTTATCTGCTTGGCTTATACTTGGGACTTCTTGTCGATTGCTTGGTAAGCCGAGCAGCCAATAGCCGTACGAGGTGTAAAACAATCCAACCAATCATTTCCTTGAAATGCCAAAATTCAAGTCTGTCAAGGTCTTGATTTAAACAAATAGTTGTGGAGGGTGTTTGTTTACGAATGTTTCAGGGGTAAGCCTAGGAGTCAGAATGAAGCGTAATAGTGAGGAGGACAATGTATCACCCACTTTGACAAAAAGTGCAAATTTGTGGAAGGGAGGTAGTTTTAACGTTCTCAAGGCGTCGTCCGTAAATAATTCTACTAATATGTTTTAAGTAAGATCGTTTGAGTTTTACTTCCGTATTCACAATACATGATTCAGCCAGGATAAGACATAAATCCATCCCTGATCTTCTAGGACTTGTTCCCCTGATTTCACCCCGATCCTTTCAAACAAATTTTACTGATTTCTTCTTAGGAAAGTGCTTGAGTTTTGGATGGCCGGTTGTGTTGAATGGTAATTGTTTCACTTTTACAAATCCTACACGGCTACTGGCAGTTTTATAGGCAAACTTCGATAGCTCCGGCAAACACCGATAATCGATTGACTGCTCAATAGTGCCTTAGCATATTTTGTCGTAGGTGGCGCAAACAAAGATCTTTATTGCCTGCGGTTTGGGTGGACTCCGTGTGATTTACCATTTCTAAAACTGCCAATCAATGCCCTTGTGTTGGAAAGGGTAAATATCTCGAAATTCCGCCGTTTAAACGGCCAAACAAGCGCAACGAAGTGGCCTCTAGCGCTTCACCGCGTAGCTTTATTCCCGACGAAGGAAGTAGCCAAAACGGAAGAAATCAGCTGGTAAAATTTACATCGTGTATTCCTACAATTGGACAGTCGTGTAAACGTATGTAAATGCTCCAAAGAGAGGTGTGTTAAGGTGAGAAACCTTTAGACAAGTATAGGTTAATTGTGTGGTACAAAATCCAAGTGAAATCTGAGAGGGTTTTTGCTTGTGCTGGGTGGTTTTGTTCATTTGTGAGATCCAAAAAAACGTATTGTAGGGTTTTATACAGAGACCCAATAAAATAAGGTGGCTGCGTTCATCATCATCGTCATCATCATGGAAGGACAGAAAGGGAAGTTTCGGCAAAACTGCTGACCTGTGCTCGTTGGACAAACAAGGAGGTGGAGGAGGCGGTGGAAATATGCTTGGAAATACACGAAAATATGGTATGAGAAAAAAACGGTATTGGAACTCATGGCGCTGTCAAGTCGCAAATCGCGTCAAGGTGTGGACATGGCATCATTTTGATTGGCACACTCTGAACGCGAATGTTGCGTGTTGATTGGTTACAGGAGAGAATAATCTGTTTCCCATTAGCTGAGACAAGGTGGTCATTTTAAAGTTAGCAGAGTGGAGAGGTAGTGTCATGCAGAGGCGAATCTGTACTTTCCAGCCTCCTCTCCCTCACAACGGGCTGAAAAAGAGCTGATTTGGAAGCAGGAAGCGGGCAATCTGAAGTAACCAATCAGCATATCGATGAACGCCTGTCTGCGGAACGGTGGATGTTACGCCGAAAAGGGCATGCTTCAAACGCAATGGAAGCATCGCCAGTCGCGCTAACCACTCGCTGTGGACATGTGCGAAGCAGGAGACGTACACACCGTCGACGATCATGTCGCCAGTTAGTGTTAGCGGTGCGTAGACACCGACGTCGGCGTGTGTGGAATTCCTGAAGCGAACCTCCTTCACTTGGCACAGAATGTCTGAACGGGCGAAGTCGCAGGCAATCTTGTCGTGCGGTCGCACGTCGCTCGCAAAAACAGCTGTTTTCTCACCAACCCAACGGTAGACTATGTGGTTAGCAGTCAATCGCAGTGTCCCCGTAGTCGATGCTCCCGCGCGGACGTAGACAATCTCGATCCACGGCGAATACTGGTGCTCATCGCGGTGAATAAAGGCGATGACCTGGGTGAGTCGAAGGGTGTTTGTCGCGGAATCGAGAGTCATTATAGAATCTCCAACACGAAGCGCCGACAAGGGGATCGGTGAGCCAGCGGTGCTCAGTGCTTTTGCGGAACCAGGAAAGCATCCAAACCACTGGGACGTGATGATTGAATCTTAAAATAAAAAATTCAACTTCTAGATGGCAAGGTCATAATCTAACTATCTTACGACGGCTCTCTCAAGCTCAAATTTGGTAACGATTTCGAGTTACTGCCTGTCAAGTTTAACCTTCAGCGAAAACCGAGGACCGACGACAACTTAATCGCTGTGTTCAGAGTCGGTTGATGTTAAATGTGCGATAGTATCGGCCACCAAATAGGCCCCCTTAAACGTCCAGTCAGCGAGTTGGGAAAAGCTTGTTGTGGGCCCCAGCATGTGGTTCTAGGACCACGCCGGGGCCACGGAATTGACCCTGGCCCGATTACGCTTGCCTGATGCCCGCGATGAAGAAGAAGACCGGAGATGACGGGAAACAACCGTTTACTTCAGAGTTCAACCTCGTTGGTGTCATTGTGTAGGGTTTGCGCGTGTGTATTTATAGATCGGATGTGTGAGTCATACATGCGCTAACACCGACCTAGGCGTGAGTTTAATCTAAGATAAGTATTCGTGTTAATGAAGAGGGAGTTGAGGATTTGCGCGGCTGTCGCCATGCTGCTAGAAGGGAAGCCTTGTATCGGAGGCGAAGCGATCGGATTAGGATGTTGAATAAGCACGTTTCACAAGAAGCTCAGTTCAAGATAGCTGGCTTGTTCACTGCGTCAGCTGTTGCCACCTCGCTACCGCAGGTTATTACAACGAGGACAGCACCACACTCTTGCCTCCAATAAAGGGAAAACTGGCATCGATTTCGGACGACAGCTTCGCCCGTTCGTAGCCACAGCAGCAGGTTGAAGAAACACGTGCAATCGTTTGCTTTGGTGTGGGATTTGTTTCATGCCAATCCTAACGACAGAGTGATCACTTTTCAGGCTCGGCTCTCCTTGCTTATGTGATCGCCACTTAGGTTACCACGGCGATGACCTTGAGAGAAGTTGTCCCAGAATTCGAAACAAATAACGAAATCACTGGGACAGAGCCATTGATACAGAACGACGTCAAACACAAATCCCACTAGTATTTCCTTTCCTGCCTGCGTGTGCATGTGTCTGAATGGCCTCGGGATAGGTGGGCATTAATCACGTTTACAATACCCTCCTGCCGAACGTCTGACTTGCCTTAAATTAGCCGTAATAAACTAAAACGATTGGTAATCTCTCTCACCCTCTTTCACCCGCTTAACGCAGACTGCGACAACGTGTGTGGCCTTCGCCAAACACACGCACACACACACAAACCAGAGACCGTCAGTAGACGCAACAGTTGGTCGGCGCACAACTGTTGCGAGATAGGGGCTCGCTCCGCGAATCCCCGTAGCACCACGGATCCCCACTTAGTGCTGGATTAGACGTGTCGAACTGTTTAAAATCACAGTGACTCCGCTGCGCACTTCGGTGATCTTGTAGGCATGTGCTTGTGTTTTGTTATTCTTGTTTTGACCGCGCGATCGTCATGGCAACGTGTTTACCTCCTTTGCAGTGGGGTGGCGCCTCTGGCCACTAAAGAGCGACAAATGGCGACAACAACAACGATTTACCGACAGGACCACCTGGGGAGATGCATCGGGAAGGCTATGAGGCCGTGGAATTGCAAAATCTGCTTGTGTGTGAATGCCCAACAAATAACACCCTGAACAAATCTGATGCCATCTAAACAAGCTATAAATTGCTCTGATTTATAAAGCATTAGGATTTGCGCTCCTGACTTCACCGCGTTTCTTTACATCAGCGTGGAATCGATTTTTATTTCGATTTGCTATCATTCAGTTAGCCAATCGTTTTTTTCCTCTTTTTGCCTTAGTGCTTTAGTTGGGAATCGGACGTAGAATTTTAAGTTACTATCTGTTGCAAAATCTTTAAGTCTAGTTGACAAAAGCAGGAAGCTTCGATAATTCATTAAAACCCTTGTTTCTCGGATGTAAAGTCATTAGATGGGTTTACCCTCTCCTTAACTGATAGGTTTGGCAACACATAGGACGCTTAAAGATTGCGGTAATAGCGGCCATATCGTTATGTATGTTACTATGGAAACGTCGTTTAAACCACTGTAAAACACGATTAACCCTCAGATCCACGATGAACTATTTAAAACTGTATGCATTATAGAAAATCTCGATTGTTTCTACAAACATTTGGCTATTAAAAAAAGAAGAAGGAGTTGATGTTTTGAATGGCACAACAAAATAAGTTTTCACATCAACTTACGTAAAAATGCACTTTTTTATCACTGGCAGAAAAGCCGGGACGAAAGTAGTGGCAATTTTTTAAAATGTATTACAGTTCATTTAGCACAAATGTTGGCGATTCTCACAGCAAAAGCATGGCCAATGTGCCTGTTAATGCTACATTTTGCATTTGTCCGATCGAGTTAAGGCATAACAGGTAACACGGTGCCGCATAATTTTTAATCGCCTGGCTATCAACCATGACCTTTACGCGGTCGGAGAGTGCAGTTTTCGAAACATTTCATATTTGTACGCAATGACAGCTTAAAAATTTCCTAATTTTGGAATCTGACACACACACATGTGGTATTTTAAATTGACCGCGCAGTCATCCTATTGGTCCATCTCTACATTGAGTAAAGCATCTAGTTGATTGACCGTCAGAGGTTGCACTCGTCCCCAGGTTGAATGAGAGTCTTTTCCGACTTTCAAACACGAAGAAATTGAGGAATTATAAAATGCATAGCTTGGTAATTAGCTGATGTGAGGAACGCACCAGGCTTGACGGAACAGTGGACGTGTCCCTGACGCGCGAAATAGCACCAGTCGAAGAGAGCGCCATAGTAGGCTAATTGAGCCAGCTTGCCAGGGTAGATACTGCTGCGTCGTGAGGAGCCACTAGATCTGGCGTCGACTAGGATCATGTCGACAGCTCGTCCGGCGTAGTGGAACTCCTCCATCATCACGGGGTGCTGCTGAAGCTGTTGCTGCTGTCTGCGGTAGCCATCGAATCCCATCACTGGTAACTCCTCGCCCCAATAACGACTCCGATAGACGGAATAGGGGCTTTGGATGCTTGATCCGGGAGTGGCCTCGCTCTGATTGGCTCCGTCTCGAGGTCGTTGCATTACCACACGACTGTCCGTGTTGGCGACCTTGACCCCCAAACTATTGCTGCTGTGGTACCCTGTGACCTGCCGGAAGCGTTTTGGAGGCTCATAATCGACGAGGTCCTCAGGCTACAGCCGATTCAACACAAAAAACAATCGTTTATGTCGAAGAAAGAAAAACATCTAAACTATTTCTGGAATGTGTGCAATGCTTTGAAACTGGATGGTTGGTGCATTTGTCACAGAGCGTGATTATGTTTTTATTGATTCAACCTCGAATGAAACAGTTAGTCGAAAATAACAAAACTAGACATCATAGCGACAGAAAATATATTCCTTTCTTGGTTGATAAGGACTACAGTTGCTACACTGTCTTGTGCTCTCGTTTGATATTATGCGAAAGCATAGACACAACTATTTTGCTGTTGTCTGGCTGCAATAGTTCACTCTAACTGGTAGCCTAATCAAATTCTGACCTTGTATGGCCAGGGGGGGTCAGGATTGCCCGTGGACACAGAGAGCATTTGAATCGGTAAAATTTACTCAGATGACCTTGTTGGCTCTCATTGGCTGTAAGAACAGCCAATCAATGGCGCTCAACGGCAGAGCCTTACGCGCATTGAATAAGCATTGCTCGTAAAATATTTAATAAATAGTCACAAAGTTTAAAACAACGTAGTCTACAGCGGAACAGTGCAGTGCACTCCTGTCCTTCAACAACTTCACGCTGGTGACGAGCAGTCGATCCAATTTTGTGATTTATGTGAGATAACGCAGTGAGCATCCCAACGACAATCACCGCTAACACCACCAGAAACTGGTTTGCACTTTAAAAATTGAGAGTGGAATTTGTTGCAGGAATTACAAAACATAAGGCTTTTAATTCCAACATGACCATACCTACTAAACCGGTACTGTAGTCTCCTTCTTTTTGGAATAGTTATCACTTTTGCTAAAACTTAGAGCCTAATATTGCATTTTTAATAGGTAGACTTGCTTATTAAATCACTCTAATCAATACTATCGATTGCATGCAAACAAATCCTTTTATATACAGGCATTCACGTAAAGTGCCTTCCCATGAAATATCGCCATTTAGGAGACACGCAAAAGAAAATTAATGACACTGAGTTCTAGCCGTCCAAATAAGTTTCCGTACCTTTAAGAAATATGCCGCCTAGTCTCGGTGTTACGTCAAAAATCAGGATTCTGTTTGCCGCTGTGATGTTTTCATCCTGTTCACTAGGTGGAGACTTGACGCACCATCCGTTTCTGAGCCCTTTATTCAAAGGCCAAAGTCTAGACATGATATGGACTACTTCGAAGTGAATAAACTCGAATCTGGGACTTCTCGTAAAGGAATTACATCAACTTGGAATTAGTGGTTAAGGAAAGAGACTGTTTCCCATGACTAGCTAACTTCATTTCACTCGAGCCAATGACAGGTGGACAGGCGGTGACGGGGACGATTATTGCAGTGTTTTGTACACAACATTTAACGGCATTCTGACACGCCAAGGCGATGCTACAATTTCCCCAATATTCCGCGTTTACCTGCTTTTCCAGATGCGTCCACGTGTTGGGGGTTGAATGAGGCCTTAAGTGAAACTAGGCAGGGTCATTGATATTACTCCGCCTAACTCTTCTCCCATGGGACATCACAAAAGCCACCGTATCCCCTCACATGGGCAGTGAGGCATGCATTATGAATGCGCATGTGGGTCAACTTTTGTGGAGCTAGTTTTGGTCGTGGTGGCTTGAATACCGACCAGCAACAGTTCCATCTTCCCCACAAGACGGTTTTGCATCTTCCATCATTGTAAATTCGACTAGCTTCGAGTTGATTTTGACAATATCGGTTTGCACATTGGCCGCAGACAACATCAGAAACACAAGTTATTGAAAGCATCTACTTTTGAAAGTGGAATTTTGCATAATGTAACCACCTTAATACCTCTACATCATTTTAAACAATTGCAAAATATCATTGTATCAGCAACAAAAACAGGCCTAGCAACCTCATGGATTTTCCTTGTCTTTAAATAATTCTGCCTAGAACACGCGCTCTAAAGAATGCACAAATTTAGCTCGACACGAAACGACGTCGACCTGGCGTGGAATCGATTTTTATCGATTTTGACTCGCCTTAATGACCAAATTCATATCCAGTGGTACTGCTGCGGGTCTCAGGAACGCAGGAAGAGACAGAGATATGCGGCTTGAAGGTTACGTGCTGGAGATATTAAAATTTCCAAATACCTTGAAAAAGAGGCTAGAATTGTGGGATTATGTGACCCTGCCTTTCGGTGGCATTCTTGCTAAAATCGCACAGACATGTGGAGAAGAGGAATGCGCATCCAATCCACGCGAAAGTCAGATTGGCACCCCAACTCGTTCGGCCTCAGGAGCTAAATTTATGCCCAAGATTAATGAGCTGCATTTACCCCAAATGCTGTCTTTTTTAGTAACTCTTTAATTAGTTTTAAAACAACGTTTGTTGGTAGTTGACGTCGAGAGAACGACGCCGTCTGCAAAGTTAGCGCCCCCTTTAACTAATTAATAAAACGGAGATACAAGCGACAGCTGCGCTGTAAAGCGATTCATTTGGCGTTGATAAAACGCATTAAAGTGCTGTACCAACGTGTTTACGGCAATAAGGCGTGAATGACCCAGAAAACGGCGTCTTATCATAAGTGGCGTCAATATCCGCCTGGAAGGGATTCGTTACGGGGACGCCGTGTCGCCCCCTGGAAGATGCCGGAAGTGGAACACGCCGTGTAGGAGGAGAAGAGGACTTACCACTGACATTTGAAGGGTCTGTTTACGTCTCTCCGTGTAACCCCGCTTAGTGACCACTTTGGGCTGTCGCAGAAGCGTCGGGGGAGGCCTGATCCACCCGTCCAGTATGCGCAGCACGACATCGTTATTCGGCCAGGTGTTGTGTATGAGACTGACGAGTTTCTGCAGTCTGTCGCGGCATCCCTGAAAGGCGGAATCATTACCAGACTACTTTAATGGCACCTAAAACCTTGTGTCATCCAAAATGACAGTCGGCACTGAAGCACAATGTTAATTGTCCGGCATATTTCTTGACAACTTTCTTGCCAATAAGTTTAAAGTACCGCATCCCGTTTTTTTTTTCATTCTTGACTCCGCTTATGGGTTTTATTAAAATAGTTGCTTATGATGGCAGCATATTTTCTTAAGTAACCACTCAAAAATCACCATGGGCTACCACGTAATGGTATTTGCAGGAATCGAGAAATTCGAGGTTCTCATTGGCTAATTATCGACCATTCAGCGACAGATTGAATTGGTGCGAACTGTAAATGGGTTATTGTAAAGCGTGAGAACAAGTTAACTGCTGAAAATCACTCGAGAAACACAAAGTTAGAACAGCTACGATACCCACCGCATGTACCGCCAACTGCCCCCTTCACGCCACACAAATCACACGCGATCGAGTAATTAACCAATTAAAGCACTACCATTAACGCGCATTCACAACCACTGGCGTGGTAAACGGCAAAGGCTAGATTAATTGGATGATGCTGTCATCGACGCAGAGCCATTAATCACGCAACGCAGATGAGGGCAGGCTTTGATACTGAAAACGCGGAAGAAAATTCGCATCAGGATATCTTCCTCGCACTTTGGAGCCTGTGTGTGGTCTGCGTACGCCAAAAGGGTAATGTAAAAAGATTAACACACGTATGTAATCTCCCGCTGTACACACACACACACAGGTGTGTTTGACTGTGTACTTGTGTGTGCGTGTGCGCGCGCGCCTTTTCTTATCAAATCACCGATGCACGGTGACTTTTTTGTCCGAGCACGTGTGTCCACGAGTGCGTAGGGAACAAGGCAGACCAGAGGAAAAAGTGCTGAACCCTTTCTCCCGGTCTCCGCCGTGCGTATGTGTGTGCGCGTGCGCGCGTGTATTTGTGTGACTAATATGCCGCGGATGTGGGCGCGAGAGCGGATGTGGGATTTTTAAAACGGTCGCTGTCATGCAGATGCACCACCGTAAGCGGTTGCCCGCTTTCGGACGGAGACGTAATCCAGACCGAATTGTGTGTGTGTGTGTGTGTGTTTGTGACTGCGGCGATCCCGTTTCTGGGCATGGGAATCCCTACACACACAAACACGCACTTGCCGTTTGACAGTTCACAAGTAAGGGTGTCCCCTAGCGTGGGTCCTCTGCGAAACGATACTTTCCTTCTTATCACACTGATGTCATTAGCACGAGCACGCATACACACACACACACTAGTGTGCATGAATGGCGCACACCGCTGCACTGATCGTGAAGAGTTCTCGTCTTCCGTCCATTTGAACACCGATTAGCGTGAGAAAATCCGGTCGACAGCAAGACAGAGGGGAGTGACTGTCCCCCAGTAAAGTCGAATAGTGGCACAGTCGATTACAGTGAACAACGGTTATCCTCGGATTATGCTTGTTTTGCCAGCACACAATGTAATAATCTGGCCGTGTTTCAGGTCGTGCGAATTTGTTGTACATGGTACTTGGCAGTTCACTAATGCCGTCTGGAAAAGCCGCTAGCTAATGCCTACAAGTGTGGCCGTACTTCTGCACAATTTTGTCGCATAATTGTAAATCAAACTTCAAACGTGCGTAAAATTAGAAATGAAAATTATGTGCGGATACAAAACGAGAATCTACAAAAGAGTAAAGATGACGCATAAATAACTTCGGTGCAACCATGAGCCCTATAAGTGTGACACACGGCCGCGCGATCGCTTTGGTACTCAAGGTCACGTCAAGCGTTGACCTTGAAAACTTCGAGGTCACTGGGGGTTCCATGTGAAAACAATAACAATTAGTTTAATTGGAGGATTATTTTTAACTGCGTTTTGAAGCAAACTACTCCAATGAAATGGCAGAGGGAACGGTTTGGAGTTTTAGTTGAAGGCGATGGAACAGACAAGAAAACTGACAGTCATTGGGCAGTTTGCACTTCGCGGAAAACCAATGGAAAAGAGTTGAGCGGAAATGAGAAGCAGTGGGGATGATGGCTTCTAGGTGTGTGTGTTTTGAATAAACGTTATGCCGAACACATCTACAACCCGGAAAAATTTAAAAAAAACCCACCTACCTTGTTGAAAATGTTGGTGACCAGCGCAAATTTCATCGGATTTATGATCTTGAACTGACTAGAGTTGGATTTGATCCCAGAAAAAAAGCATTTAGGAAAGAGGAATAGTGCATGAACGATTGTGGTATTTCTCCAGTTACCTCCCATTGCAGGCGATAAGTCGATTTTGTTCGGTGAGCCATTCACAAACGCTAAGACAACCATGATTCCCACCAAAAAGGGCTGACCTTCACCATGAATTGTCCACCATGGTGTTCTAGACGTGGAGATAATTTGACTTCGATGCATTGTTGACTATAAATCGCCACTTTTTAAAAGCGCCGAGAATTTGGAGGAACGACAACTCATCGAAATCAGTTTGGGACTGCTTACACGGAGAAAATCAAGTCAAATTTAGCAGAAAGTGAAGCCTAAGTCAAAGACTTCCACTCATTGAAGTCACCGCCCTCTTTCAACTTGTTGGGCCAAATTCAAGGTGATTAAATGTCACTGAAGAAAGCAACACTAAATGTGGGTACTCAGCGTGCAGTTTTTGTTCGCACAAGTAATCAGTCACCTTGCTTGTGGACATCAACTCAGAAACAGGAGATGCAAAATTTTCACCTAAGCCTATACTTCACTTCAGTTGGTTTATATCTCCATGCGTTATTTTGGGCTTAGTGATTTTACCACCACCACCACCACCACCACCACCACCACCACCACCACCACCACCACCAC